TTCGTGGGTGTTGTAGTTGCTATGTTGAATGTGGTAGTTGCTTGTGTGGTTTCCTTTACTGTACTGACAAAGGTTTCTGTTGTTTCACTAGGAAAGGTTGAAGCCACCGGAGCTGTAGGTTCAGTTGTTCCAGTTTGACTTTGTTGGGTTCCACCAAATGTTGCATTCTCTAGGGTTGTTGCACTGTCCCCAATCAATATGGTGGTAGCCTGCAAGTCTGTGATTTGCACGGTTGAACTGACCGCTGATCCTAATGATGTCGTCACGGTGTTTATGTTGGAGATCGTGGTTTGAGCTGATGGAGTGACATTAGTTATGCTTGCCGATGACAGTGCGACCGAGGTCTGAATGGTTGTGGCTAGTTCCTCGGTTGTACTTTCCAAAGTTTTTGTCCTTGTAGCGGTGGTGATGCTCATAACTGAAGGTGTAATTTTAATTAGCTGTGTTCTCTGTCGATGTGGTGGTTTCCATAAAGACTAACGTGGTATCCTGAACTATCGTGGTTTCCTCGGTTGTGATGTCGATAGTTTCCGTTGTCTCAGAAGCTGATGTGGTCTCATATTTGGAAGTGGTGAGATCATTTAGAGGGGTTTGAATTGGGATGGTTGCACCGGACGTCGTGAGACTTTCTGCCGATGAGGAAGCGGCTTGGCTGGTCAGAATAGTGGTTGCTGGGCCCACCGTGAATACCAGCGTTGTTTCACCTGATAGTGATGTCTGAGACATGGTTGCAACTCTCCAAATTAGACATGACTTTAGTTGCAGGTTGGCTCACAGAAGTCTTTTAAACAGTAACGTTACTTGTTAGCCCCATAAATAATGCTGATGTGCTGGACAACCTGTTCTCATTGGTCAATCCTCCATGGCATACACACCCACAAAAACGAACACGTCATATTTTCTGAAACTTAAACCAAGTGGTAATTGCCCCTTAACAATACATTTAATAAACTGTTTGTTATCCACAGCACGTCAAGTATTTCTGGATTTCAAGGTGAAATTGGGAGGACAAGATGGAATATCTGTATCGGTTGGCAGATTTCTTCCTGGAATTTGATCAAAACAAGTCGGCACATTTTTACAGTATGCAAATTAGAATAACACTGCGGATAAGTTGGCCGGAACATTTTTGCTGAAAACGTTTTTCCCAAAAAACACTTGGTTGAATTCTCAGAGAGGCGATATTTTCTTGTCAAGGGGCAGGGGTAGTCTAGCATTATTGGAATTAATGTGACTAGTATATGCTTTGCAGGTGGGATTTGTACTTGAATTATTCGGAAAAGATCTTTAGAAGTGAATGGAATCATCACATTGTCATTTGTTAAACCCCGGCTTTCGCAAGTCCTATGCAACTCATTTCATGGCCGACGGACGACGCACGATGAGCGACGGGCGACGCACGACGGGCGA